GATTGCCCCTCCTTCTTCAGCAGCATCTGGTGGATTCGAACCACCTATCTCTAGGATTGCAGTGCAGCTTCTTGCCACTAGGCCACCAGAGCTCCCCTAGGTCTGATGTTTTGAGGGATGGTAGCTTTTTAAATAATTTTCCCAATTTCTTCTATTGTTATAGATCTCTCCCTTGGAATCAATTTCGTTAACTGGACTGCAAGTGTCCCAGCTCCACACTACGGCAAATGCCTCTCACAGGTCAACATGCAAGTCAGTAAGTCCTATAATTTATAAAACTTAAAAAAAAAAAAGGAAATGAAACCATTTTTAGAATTATCTAGTAACACAAAAGATTAATAGATAATTAACACTAATTTTAAATATTTTCTTTTATTATAAATCTAACAAAAAATTAACCCTATTGATGTTGAGATGATTCTTATTCATAACAGTACAGGGTGGAGAACTGGGTTCCTAGGCTATTTCCAAAGCTGTTATGGGAAACTGTCACATTTTTCTTTCTCCCAAAGAGCAGCTGGTGAGTTAAACTACCTAATTATCTATCAGTTCACAGTTTAATGTCTGACCACTGTACTAATAAAAGTTTCTTACTGTAAAATGCCCCTTATTTCATAATGATATATGGTCAAATTATTTTGGCATTGAAAAGAATATATCCAAACAGTAAGTTCATTGAATTAGGTCTCAGAGCTACCAAAAAGAGTCAAACAAAAAGTTTCATGTACATTTAAAAATTGCCCATTCTTTTAAAGGCAGAAAGAAAGAACATTTGTGGCACAGACGAATGTTCCTAAAAGTAAATTCAAATGACAAGGTTTTAACTTTTGACAAGCTAGTGGTAATGAGATGGACTCCTAAACAGATAAACTGTCATATGAAAAATACACACATAGCTTTACTTACAATTAAATATAAGTAAAAAACTGTGGAAGATAATATAAATGTAATTAATGTCAATGTAATGAATGGAACATATAAAACTGCTGAAATGACAAATGATTTGGGCTGCCAATTGAGTTATCCACTTGAAGTTACTGGCCACTCTGTGGGGAATAGATGAGGCAGCCTCTTTCTAATAAAATTAACAGTCTGGGGGAAAATATATATATAGAGATATATAACTATAGTCTTTGCAATTACTTGCTATGCATCAGAGCTGGATAATGATTAAGGGTGTTAGAATTGATGCCTTTAAGTTGTGGTGCTGGAGAAGAATTTTGAACATACCATGGACAGCCAAGAAAACAAATAGGTCTGTCTTGGACAGCGTGATTTCCTTGGAGACTAGGATTCTGAAGCTCTGTCTCACACACTTTGGGCATGTGGCCAGGAGGGACCAATCCTTGGAGAAGAGCATCATACTCAGAAAGGTGGAGGGACAGTGCAGGAGAGGAAGACCCTGGATGAGATGGGTTGATACAAGAACTAGGGCAAAAGGAGCTCTGGTGGCCTAGTGGCAAGAAGTTGCACTACAATCCCAGAGGTACACGGTTCGAATCCACCAGATGCTCTGTCAGAGGAGGGACAATTTCCTCCTGTACCAGTCAGATCTAATTTGACGGTACACACAAATAATAAAATAAAAATTAAAAAAAGAACTAGGGCAATGGGGGTAGGTGTATTGCATCTGTGAGGCTGGCTCGCAGGTAACTTGATGGCATCATGGCACATAACAATGTGTGTGTGTGTGTATGTGTGTGTGTATGTATCCCTCCACAATTTCAAAAACTTAGGAAAAATACATAAAATTATTAATAATGGTCACTTGAGAACTAAAGGAATGATGGAAATAAACTAAAACTTATGCATTTCCAACTGAAAGTTATCCACTTGAAGTTACTGGCCACTGTGTGGGGCATAGAAGAGGCAGCTTTCAATTGGAAACACTTAAGATTTCAAACACTATGAAATGCTGGTTTTACAAAACATCATCAAAACAACCTACTGATGACAAAGCTGAGTTTATTCTTACCTCAGTAAGGGAAAATACTATCATGGCAAATGCTGGTCCTTTGTACTGTGAAATTGTTTAGGCTCCAAATGCATTCTTACAATCTATTACTAGACTGCCACTTTTCTAGAAAGTCTTGGGAACACAAAAATGGCCTAATTAGTAGACCTATAAAAATTTGCTCAATGATCTTTAAACCTACGGCAAGAATTTAAAATAGGTGTCTAAGAGTATATGTATGCTTACGTATATCTAAAAATCTCGGGAAAGTGCTTTAACTAGCACTTTAAATTTGCTATTGAATGGCATATTGGAGAGGGACTGCCAAGAGGTTAATCATTGTCATTCAATTGGAACCACCAGCTCATAGCTGACCCTCCACTGGGTTCCCAAGGCTGTAAACCCGAGATAGACACTGCCCATCTTTCTCCTTCGGAATTGCTGGTGATTTAAAAGGTCAGAGGTGCAGCCTTTGGGTTAGCAAAGAGCCTCAAATAAGTCCATAGTTTATGTAAAGTTTTACTTAATCTATATTTAAATACAGTTTCAATCTTAGGCTCTTTAATTGTGGTGGTTGTAGTCAGAGAACACATATTGTGCTGGGTTTATGGATATGGGCTAAGTAAATACATTATTCTTATCATCTTAAACTTTTGTTTGGGATCTGACTTATGACATGAAACATAAATGTACTATATGGCAAGATACTCAGTTCTTCTTTAGCATCTTGTGAGTGGGTTGAAAGATTTCCAGACTGGATGAGTTATTTGTAGATGCTTTCTCACTACAGGGACTGTAGCTCACATTTATGCAATTTCAAAGGTATAAAGTACATTCTTTAAGATACACATCTTAGAAATTGGCTGGACTCTGACTTAATGAAGTTGTTAAGAACATTAGAGGCCACTCTCAGCCAAGCCAAATGACTTAGTAAGACTGTTTACCCTGCTTGGGATTTATTTTACATCTGCCATACTGACACAGCCTTGGAAGGTTTTTAATGCTATTAAAGAAGGTAGCAACTGCTGAAAGAGAAAATTACTCATCCTCTAATCATGTTGTTGTTAGGTACCAGAGTCAGCTCCCCAAACCCTTTGAGGTTATTCCTAATTTGGTTTAGATGAAGTGTACACAGCAAAATAGGTTCCCATTCAACAATTTCAGTGCATATTTTTTCAAGGAAATTTTTTTTAGTTTTCAAATTCTATTAACATTCTCATTATTTCCATTCTAGTTGTTCTATTCCCAGTGCCCTGGTCTCATAGCTTCCCACTTTCTCATCTCTGCTTTAGAACATTTGTTGACCATTTGACGTCAAAGAGACTCCTCCCTCCCCAACAGTGCAAGCAGTCAAGGGTGATACTCACTACTTTATGAGCTTATCTACTATTTAGTGAAAGGTTATTTGAGTGCATAGTTTGGGTCAAGGTTTAAAGAACAACAGTCTTCTGGATTCTTCTTATCTCACTGGGTTCATTAAGTTTGGAATTTTAAAAAATGTAAAGTTCTTTATACAGAAAATAGAATAAAGTTAATACCAAACTTGAAAAAAAAAATGTAAAGTTCTGTTTCACATTTTCTGCTTTTCATCAGGATCGATCTATTGTGATTCTGATCAGAATGCGAGGTAATGGTGGACCTCACTTCTTCAGATCCAGAGTTGTTGTTGTTGTTGTGTACCATTAAGGTAGAACTGACTCACAGCTGATCCTCCAGTAGGTTTTCAGAGGCATTAAATCATATAGGAAGAGACTTCCCATCTTCACCCACAAAGCAGCTTACAGATAAGAACCTTGTCCTTTAAGCTATCAGTTCAACACCTTAGCACTAAGACACTAGAGCTCCCTGGTAGAAGCAGCAATTATTCTACTTTGACATTATACTTGAAAAAATGAAAACAGAAACTAAGATTTAAAAGTGAGGGAAAGAACATATTTAAATAAAAGCAAAAGGCTTTTTACATATATATCCGTAAGTTCCCAGAAGTATATATGCTATTGACAGAGGCTCCATTAACTAGTTTCCTGACCAAGGACAAGCTCTTTTTCCTATATATCAGGTACCCTCCTTAAATTAGGAGCAACAGTTTTATTATAAGTGTGCTGTCAGTATAAACTGGGATTATAAGTATGAAAATAAGAGATAAAACTAAGGATGGGACCTGCTTATAGGAAAAGCACACTTCATCACTAAAATCTGTCCTTATTTGTGGCATTGGTTAAAGGAAGGAATGACTACTCTGGTATCTTCCTAATGCTGCACAGGTGATAAAAGATCTTTTTAGATTGTCAACTGGACTGATGGTGAAGCCATTTCTCTACCTTTGATTAGAGGCACAAGTAACCTATGAATTCCAGACATTTCTTTTTTTCTAAAGAAGTCTGAGATTTTACAGCCCATTTACCATATCTGGAGAGGCACATGATGTCTGAAGGGTGGAAGGTCGGTGAAGGAGAGCAAGACGCTCAACCAGGTGGACTGACACGGTGAGTGCCGCAACGGGATCCAGTGTGTCAGGAAGTGTGAAGACGGCACAGGACAGGATGGGGTTCAGATCTGCTGTTCATAGGGCTGCGAGGAGTCGTACTCAACTTGATGACCTAAAAACAACATGCTGTGCCACTTTACTCTGGCAACCTTCCCAGGTCATACATCCAAAGGATATTCACTAAAGATAAAACGAAGGGACAAACCAGAACAAACTCATCCTTTCCATACATGGCTACAAACTGTATTTAAGGTAAAAAAAGTAGATCAAAAGGTAATGAAAATTTTTATTTTACAGATGTAATAGCAAAATACTTTGAATCAACTAATCTTGAAGTCACACTCTGAATTCATACTGTGTTGTTGAATTTTCTCAGTTGATCAATCAATTCTATCACCGATATACTAAGCCTCTGTCAGTGAAAGAAGCATCAATCAGCTTGAACCATGATGACACCGGTGACTGGCAGGACTAAGCCAAGGAGGGGACTAGGGTTGTTTCATTTTCTCCTTTGGAAATGCTCTCCATGGCCATGTATGACTTAAAACAAAGACTTCATCATGAAGAACTGTAGCCAACACTTCTCCCTTCATCCTGTAATGTCCACGTTGCTCAGAGGGGTCTGCTACACCAGGCTATTCTTGGCAATAGCATTCAAAGTCCTCACTTTGGTCACATCTGTTACCTTTAGAGAATATTCTGAATTAGAAACTGAGGCTCCCATGGAAACATAGGGATTTCTGCAACAGAAATAACAAAGGAACAAATAATTATATAAGTTGTTAGGAGAAGCTCTCACTAGACGAGCCTTCCAAGGAGTACACAGTATCATAGACTGGTTTATGACTCAAGAGCAAGGACCCTGGGAACAACAAACTCCACAAGTTTTTATTACTTGAAACATACAGTATTCTTGATTTTCTATCTGGAAGTTTTAAGGCTCCTGCTGCTTTCATATCTTATTTTATTTCAACCTATAAATAAAAAATAACTTTCAACTATTAAATTAGGAACCCTGGTGGAGAAGTGTGTTGGTTACATGTCAGACTGCAAACTGAAAGGTTGGCAGTTAGAATCCACTAAGCACATCAAAGGAGAACAATGGACAGCCTCCTCCTATAAATATTTAAAACAATGTAAAGTCTCTTCCTCAGAAACCTGATCGAGGGTCTCTATGAAGCCAGAAAAGATTTTACAGCAATGAGGTTGGAGTTTTATTAAAAAAACAAAAAAATAAGTATGATTTAAAAAAAAAAATTCCATTTCATGATGCTGATGTAATTTTAAAAGCACCTAAAACACAGAGTAAAGGGAAGGGAAGGGTGATTAGGTGATGAGGTACTAAGATAAGATGACTAAAGATGGGAGGGAGGGGTTTGTGTGGGGAGAAGGGTGCAACAATGAATGAATGGAATTCCAAAATCTCTGTAGATGTTCATTGAAATGAAAAATAAACAAAATAAATTTAGGGGAGCTCTGGTGGCCTAGTGGCAAGGAGCTGCAACTACAATCCCAGAGGTACACGGTTCGAATCCACCAGATGCTCTGCCGGGGAAGGAGGGTCAATCTCCTCCTGTACCAGTCAGATCTGATTTGACTGTACACTCACACAAAAATAAGAAAATTTAAAACAAAAAAAATTTTTTTAAAAATGACTAAAGATGGCTTTGACTCTCCAATCCTTACATCACAGCTATTACCTCTGATAAATGAAAGAACAGGCAAATGGGTATGCATGGATACTGGACTCATCTGAAGCTTAGTTGCTGAATTAAACTAATATTTCTTGGTTTAAGCTCAGTAGTGCCTTAAGGATATGGAGGTTCAGAAATATAAGAACCATTTCAAATCATTTCAAATCCAGCAATGATTTATTCTTACAGTACTAATTATAACATTCCTTTCAGTAATCATGCTACTAAGATTTTCCCATTTAGGAAAATAATCCATTATACTGTCCATTACACCATCCGTTCTTATATGAGTTAAAGAACATATTTTTACCGAAACTTCATTCCTGAGTCCCTGGCTGACCGAGCAGAACAGTGGAATTCTGTAGCACCTGACCCCTCAAGGATCCTCTGCAGATTTCTGTCTGTTATGCCACCTCCTGTTGGAAAGAATCAGTAGTAGAAAAGAAGTTTGCCTAAAGTGAATAAAAATGATTTTGCTGCACTGAAATCCCTCAATAACTCAAGGATTACTCTCCCTACTAAGCTAGAAATGAGATTAGAAAAAAAATTCTAAAAGAGGTAAGACTCTGGGAGTTTGGTGGCCTTCTGAGTTGGGCTACCAATCCACAGGCAGGGTGGTTCGAGTCTACCAGCAGCTCCTCGGAAGAAAGATGGGCAATTTCTTGTGATTTATAGCCTCTGAAAACCCACTGGAGGGCCAGCTATGAGTCAGTTCTGATTTGACAGTACAGAACAACAAGAAGGACTCTGGAGAAAAACTATTAAGATCACAGAACCTAAGACAGAATCTTACATGTTCACTTGTTTAACATAACAAAGCTATACACTACTAGACTTTAAAGCTGAAAAAAATTATTCTGTGTTAAGGGTTCAATGATAATAAATAAAACCACTGAGTAAGTCTCCTCTGCTCTCTCCCTCAATTACAAAAAAATAAAATAAAAAGAACAGACTTGAGGAAGAAACTCTAAAACCATACACAGCTTAAAGAGAAGTTTCTGAAAGAAAGATCCTCTAAGTTCAGGATTCGAGAGGTATGTGGACAAGACAAGAAAAAAAAAGGTGTGCTGACATCATTGACACAGGAGTAATCTAAGTGCTATATATTCATTAGGGAGCTCTGGTGTCAACTATAAGGCATGTGGTTTGAATTCACCAGGCTGCTCTGCAGGAAAAAGATAGGCATTTTCTTCCCATGTGATTTATCGGCTCCGAAAAACCACTGAAGGGTTAGCTGTGAGTCATTCTAACTCAGTGGCATTTAACAGATATATTTATTACCAAAATGTACTTCTTTTTCACTTCACTTCAAAGAAGAATCTGATTCTACTTATTACAACTGCACACCCACGAGTTTTATGCTGACTCATCTGTTATGAACAATTCCTATGCTATAAATGTATGTAATAAGCATTTAGATATATAGATATAAACCTGACTTGATAACAATAGATTATAAATATGAAATTCCTTTATTCATTTTTATATTTCTCAACTAATACACAGAATATAATCAGTAAATATTTTTTAATTACTGGTTAAATATCTACTTTGTATCTCAGGCTATTCAAGTTGCTAAATAACCTGTTCTTACACACTTCTAGATTAATTAAATTGGCTTTCTTATTATTTATTAACATTTTCTTATTGGTCCTTAAGTAGAAAGAATACAGACTATGAAGGCAGATTTAGACTGAATTCCTGGTTCCACTATTGTCCATTTTTACAGCTGAGTGACCTCAGATAAATTACTTAAATCCACTGGGTACATTATTGCACCAATAAAAAATAGGCCATACTGTCTACCTCTTAAGCATATGATGAGAATTAAAATAAAACGGGGGGGGGGATCCTGTTATTTCCTTCTTACAAATAACAAAATATCTGACCTTTGAAACACGTGTTGCTCAATTATCAGTAACTTTAGTACATAAGTAATACATTTTCTAAACACAGGTTAATATACTTAGTTCATTATTTTCACTCTAAAGATAAGGAAGAGGGAACCTAGTATGCTGCAAGCTTCATTTACCAAAGTCCTTAAAGGGCATTTACCATGTCACTTCTATATTTTCCAATGATAAGTATACAACAGGCATTCAGGTTGATTTGCCTAGGAATTTTTTCACTCTTTAGTAAATATTTATCAGAAATGACAACAATTTGTTTATAGGTATTTTCTGTGAATGATTAAGTAAAAGGATTGTTTTCTATTTATTTCTGTCTTCTTTTTCCAGTACAGAACATGACATATTGGGAGCTTTGGTGGCCTAGTGGTAAGAGACTGTGCTACAATTCCAAAGGCATAGAGCTCCCAAAGGCACATCAACTGCTCTGCTGGAGAAGAACAAGCAATCTCCTTGCCCTGCGATTTACTCCTTCTAAAAACCTGCTGGAGTTTCATAGATGGCATATAGTTAACATGTTCTTAGCAAGGTATGCTGAATTAGTCACAAACTTATTTGTGTGCGTGTGGTGGTGATGGAGATCACAAACAATATTTATGTAACATTTTCTTCCCACTTAAGAACATAAATCTCTTGAGGAAGTAAGTTCCTTGTGGAACTCTGTACCAAATGTAACGCCTTAACAGTTATATATTAAGCAAAGAACTCATTATAAACACTTGCCTCAAGTCTGGATATTAGTTGTTAATGAAAGAAGAAAAAAAAAGAAAGAAAGAAAAGTACATTTAGTCCTGAACAGAAACATACGACGTTGACTAAACCTCTTTAATCTTGTCTGACTAGAACATGCTGCTGTGCTGTGTCTTCACACCACTTCCTGTTCATTTTGCCCTTCTAAGAAGATGAGAAATCTCTCATGTGAAAACACTGGAAGGTCAGCTATTAATCAGTTTTGACTAAACAGCCCGCAACAACAATACGACAGAGTAGAAGTGCCCCATAGTTTTCCCAGGTTGTTATCTTTATGGGAGTAGATCACCAGTTCTTTTCTCCTGCAGACTGACCAGTGTCACTCTGAATGTTTAACTGCTGTACTGTCAAGGGTCCTTGATTAATCTATAAAGGGTCTTACTTGGATAAAGAATATGTTTTTTATAAACTCATGTTCCAAAAACTTGCTATAGGTCAAAGCCTTTCTAAAATTCTGAGAATATCCCTCACCTTAGTCTCTTCTGAGAAGTTGCCTTTTATGTGGCTTTCATTACTTAAACCCTATAAATCATCCTTAGCAGCACTGATAATGAGATGGCGAGACAATGGATGCCTTGTGATGTAATGTAAAATGAAGTATACAGATTTACCCATGAAATATTCTGACCAAAACCATTTAACCAGAATATATTCCAACAGTATGATCTAATCACTAAAGGAAATACAGACTGAAAAAGAAGTGAAATACTGCAGCAAATAACTGCCTCTGAAAACCCATGGAGGGTCAGCTATGGGTTGTCTGATTCAATGGCACATAACAACAACACAAGTTTTCTATCCCCCACCCCCTTGTTTTTTTTTAAAAAAAAGTTAAATACTATAAAAGTAAACAATATGATAAATTCAAAAAGCAGATTCTAAAAAAAAAAAAGAAAGTAGATTTTATAGCACAAGTGGCCCATTATTTTGTCATTTTTCTTAAGCAAGAAAAAGGAGAATTTCTATATGAAAAGATATTAAATTTCTCAGGTACATACCTAGGAGTGCAATTTCTAGATCTAACAACAGTAGCTCTAACTTTTAGACGAATCATTTATTGTTGGAAAAAAGAAAAAGAAGACATTAAAAAAGATCCAGTGCAATGCTTGTTCCTTGGTAGGATTTAAGTGAACACATGGCTGTCGAAAACATTCTAGGGATAAGTGGAGAAAAATTAGTATGGCGAATACTAAATGGTATTACAGAATTAGTATTTTGAAAGGTATGAACTACAGAAAATGCTGTGGTTATATAAAAAACGTCCTTTTTATTAAAGACATGTAGAAAGAATATATAACGCTTCCTTTAATTTTACTTTAAAATACCTCAAGAAAAGTTAAGAAAATGCAATAAAACGTTAAATCTAGGGGATGAGTATATGAGTAGTCATGCTTTTTTTCACTTTTTAATATAGTTTATAAATTTACTATTAAGAAAAATCAACATTGTCTCACCAACTCTAGGTTACTTTATCTAATTCTTTAACAACTTTATTTCTAGTGGGAAACTTTGGATCTAGTTAATTTTACGGTTGTCTTCATGAGTATATGATCAAATTATTCTAGCTACAAGGAAAAATTCAGAGGTCAGAGATTTTCAAGAAACTAAGAGTTATCTAAATGCTACCTTATCAACCAAATCTAACACTTGCTAACCACTAGAACACTTGGCCCTAACAAAGTGGGGCAGCATCAAATGTGCTGTGCTTGAGTAGGGTATCAGTTACATTTGCAAAATACTAGTCCACAGGAGAGCAAGCATGAAGAAATCTCCATTCCAATCTATTTTTTCATTTGCTAGTCTCTGACCTAATACTTATTTTCTTCCTTCTAAAACCCCTTCTTTAGGTTCTAATTCCAGCACCACCATCAGTTTCTAATGAGTTCATCCCAGTTCAGGGCAAACTCATCTGTGTCAGAGTGAAACTTTGTCCTACAAAATTTTCAACAGTTACTTTTTGGAAGTAGATGACCAGGCCTTTCCTTCATGGTGCCTCTGGGTGGACTGAAATTTCCAATCTTTTATTTAGCAGCTGAGAACATTAACTGTTTGCATTAATAAGGAACTTCAATTCCAGCACAGATTCCCCAGCTGTAAACATTTTAATCTGTGTTCTCCCATGCACTGGTGATGTACCAGCATTTTCTCCCTTATTCCCCTGCCTCCTTTGTTCTTCCTCTACTACCGGTCAGTGTTATAGCTAGTGAATGGATATATAAATAAATACCTGGCATTACCACAATTCTGCCTTTTGCCTGAAAAAAGAAGAAAAAAGTAAATTTTAATACTCTTCTCTTAAATAGGATAAGGCAGTGAGAACATAACATGGGTCAGAATATATTAAATTTAAAAATTATTACTAATGTCTAATTTTTGGCATATTTCTATTTCTTTGGATTCTTAGACAAGATGTGTAGCACAACAGCTCTTTCTATCCAGAAAGCTCATTTTATTGCCTTTAAGACTTGTACTGTTACAATTACAAGTAGGATAATCCAGTATAAATTCTAGATAATCATACTATCTTCAGAAAAGCCATATACACAAACTATAAAATCAATTAAATTCTGAATTCTTAGTGGAATGGAATGAAGTGGCTGAACTAAGGCTTTCTCTGAAAACAGTGAGCATAAGCCTAATTTTAAAGGAAAAGGTAACTAAAAAAATCCACTTTAATTCTGTATCTTTAATAGTATTCACTCTATATTGTCTTATGAATCAAACTCATTTAACTATCTTTAAGTACGAAAACTAAGTTATTTATACTTATTTAATTTCTGATCATTCTGGAAGATAAGTCTTTAGGTTTAAATCAAAATTTCATCTCTTAAGTAAGTTTGGGTAGGATATTTAATATCACAGACAGGCAAAGGGGTATAATTTCATTATAAAATTTATACTTGGAAGAACGACTAGAAAGTATGCAGGTAACAATAACAGAAAAAATTTACATAATCTGTCAAGTTCATTAATCTGTTAAATAAAATGTACCAAGTTACACATGATTTGAATTTTTTTCATGTATTTCCTGAAATAAATTTTTATTGCTGAACCAGCCAAACCTGTTACCAATGACAATAATTACAAATCATTTGTCTCAACTACTTAGTTTGTAGTGTATGTGTTCAAAGTTAAGCACAAAATCTTTCTTTGATTCAGTATCATTAAACTATGGCAAAAATTCAGTTAGCAATCTCATATAACTTTAGTTTCTTTTTCCATAAAAAAATGACACATTATACTAATATATTAAGAAAACACAACAAATGTTGAAAAGAAGATTTAGTTCTACATCATGGCCAGTTAGGAGAAATGAGCACACGGAAAAGTGCAGAGGAGAGAACAGGAAAAGAAGAAAGGAAGGAAGGGGGAGGGGGGAAGGGAATAAAGTAAAAGAACCCCAGCTAACAACAGAAATAATAAATGCAAAGAAAAGGATAGAACCGGAAACCCTTTAGAAGCAATCACAGAACAGAGATAGTGAAAAGGGATGTGGCACTAACAGCAAAGTAGAAAGGCCTGTGGGCAGAGATGGACACTTTTAAAATGATGTACATGGACTTTAGGGGAGCAACCAACTCCCTACTCTGGAGCTCTAAGGTAGAGAAGCCACAGTGTGCACCAAGTAACTGCCTCGATGGAGTTAAGGGGAGCATTCAGAACGATTGTGAAGGATCTGTACATAATGGCAACAAACCCTGGGTTGCTGTTAGGTGCTGTTTAGTATCAACTCTAAGACCAGCAGAATGAAGTCCTACCCAATCTTGTTTATCCTCACAACCTCTCATACAAACTCTAGTTCCAAAAAGCTATCTATATCCTATAAAAAAATATATGAACTTATTAACTGAAAAGAAGTCAGGATAAGAAATAAGAATAAAGTATGCTGAAGCAAAAATGGGAAACAGATCAATAAATGACTTGAAAAGAGTTGTAAGGTGTTAGCAAACCTATTCCTTCTCACAGCAAGCCTAAGACGACAGAAAGAAACACACGGCTTGGTTCTGTGCCATCCTTGAATCGTTTGATTTCATGGTTGCATCCACTGTATCAATCCACCTTTTTGAGGATCTTCATCTAACTTTACTGGGCATCATGTCCTTCTCTAGGGATTGGTTCTTCTGATAATACGTCAAAGTATGTGGGACAGTCTTACCATTCTTATTTCTTAGGAGTATTTTGGCTGGACTTTTTCTAAGCCAGATTTGTTCATTCTTATGGTGGTTCATGGTAGTTAATATTCTTCATCAAGACCATAACTCTGAGGCATCAATTCTTCTTCAATCTTCCTTACTCATTATGTAGCTTTCACATGCATATGCTGGTTTGTTGTTAGGTGCCGACAAGTACAACTCATAGTGACCCTATGAATAGCCGACCTGAACTCTGCCGTATCCTGTGCCATCCTCATCATCTCTGACACACTAAAGCCCAGTGCTGAAGTCACTGTGTCAATCTATCTCACAGAGGTCTTCCTGTCCTTCGCTGACCTTCCATCTTTCCCATATGATGGCCTTACCAAAGGAACAGCCTCCTCACCTAGCTCCATGTCCAAACTATGAAAGATGAAGCTTAACTATCTTTGCATCCAAGGAACACGCTGGTTGCACTTTTTTCGAGACATTCATTGGACATTCATTAACTGTTCTGTTTGTTCTTTTGGCAGTCCACAGGAAACTGAGTACTCTTCTCTAGCACCACAACTGAAGAGTCAATTTTTCTGTCATTTTTACTCATTGACCAGTTCTGAGATGTGTAGCAGGTGACTGAGAAGACTATAGTCTAGATAAGTTACACTTTGGTCTTCAAAATGATGTCACCGCTCTTCAGCATTTTGGAAGGGTCCCTGACAGCAGACTTGCCCAGTGCAATACATCTCCAGATTTCTTGACTGTTGGTACTAAGGGTGTTGACTTTGGATCCAATCATTGACCATCTATCATAATATTGACTGTTGGTCCTGTGGTGAGGACTTTTGTTTTCTTGATGTCTTGAAATATAGTCCATACTGAAGGCTGTAGTCTTTGATCTTCTGCAGTAAGAGTTTATCCTCGTCACTTTCAGCAAGCAAACTTGTGTCATCTTCATGATGCAGGCTGTTGATTGAAAATATCAAAGCTTGGGTTTGATGAACCATATCCTCGACATCTTTTGTTGTTGTTGTTATGTGTCATCAAGTCGCTTGTGACTCATAGCAACCCTATGTACAAGAGCTCTAAACACCCTATTATCCTGTGCTAACCTAGCCATCTCAAACACACTCATTCCCACCACTCCAGTCACAGAATTAATCCATCTAATCGAAGATCTTCCTTTCCTTTGACGCCCCTCCACTCTGCCAAACATGATGTCCCTCTCCAAGGACCAGTTCCTCCTTGCAACATGCCCAAAGTATGTCAGGTGAAGCTTCAGAAACCTTGACTCCAAGGAGCATTCCGGAACCTTGACTCCAAGGAGCATTCTGGCGTCACCTTCTCCAGGACAAACCTGTTTGTTCTCCTAGCAGTTCATGGTATATTCAACACTCTTCTCCAGCACCACAGCTCAAAGGCATCAATTCTCCTTCTATCATCCCTATTCACTGTCCAACTCTCTGATGCATAGCACAGAATTGCGAAGACTATAGCCCAGATCAGGCGCACCTTAGTCTCTAGCCTGACGTAGTTGCTCTTCAGTACTCTTGAGAGGTCCCTCACAGCTGACTTTCCCAAAGCAATTCATCTCCTGATTTCCTGGCTGCTGTTACCAAGAGTGTTGACTGTGGATCCAAGTAAACTAAAACTGTTAACTATCTCAGTCTCTTCACCATCCATACTAATGCTGCCAATTGGCCCAGTGGTGAGAATCTTTGTTTTCTTGATGTTGAGCTTCAATCCATATTGAAGACTGCAGTCCTTGACCTTCTGCAGCAAGCGCTTCAGGTTCTCCTCAGTTTCAGCAAGCAAGGTTGTGTCATCCGCATAATGCAGGTTGTTGAGGACTCTTCCACCAATCCTGATACCACATTCCTCCTCGTACAGCCCAGTGTCTCAGATGATCTGCATACAAATTGAAAAGGTATGGAGACAGAATATATCCCTGACGGACCACCTTCTTGATTTTGAACCATCCAGTGTCTCCCTGCTCTGTTCTGACGATTGCCTCTTGGTCCAAGTACAGTTTTAGCATTAACACAATCAAATGTTCTGGGATTCCTATTCTTTTATTTGTATTTTATATCCTGTTCTTTGATGTTATCAATACCTTTATACTTTAATACATTTGAGGCACAAATAGAGACTTGTACACCAGTGTTCATAGCAGCATTATCACTATCACAAGAACATGAAAAGAGCCCAGATGTCCAACCGCAATCAAATTAATTGAGAAATTATGGTACATTCACACAATGGAATACTATGCAGCACGCAGAAGGAATGATTTTATAAATTACTACCTAACTTAGGAGGGACTGGAGAGCATTATCCTGAGTGAACTCAGTTCTATAAAGACAAATACTACATAAAAAAAAAAACAAAACACACCTGTAGAATGAGTATGAAGACCCAAGTGGTGGAGGGTGGAAGCAGAGGGGTGAGGATAGCCTAGGGGGGCAGCTAATCATAGGATCATACAGTTTGATGAGTGGTGGCGATGAAGTAAACTGGAAAGATCTGTTGTGAAAAACTTATGTATTTGCACTTTGTAAATAAACCAGTATAAAAAAAAATACAAAATCAAAGTGGCATCTTTAAAGAAATCTTTTGCAGATTCCAGTATATCATACTGAGAGATAATTACTTCTAGGAGTAAAGTTAATGGAGAAAGTAGAAATAGAATGTACATACAGACAATGAAGACTGTAAAGGATCAGGACACAGGAGGATCAACCTGGGAGGAAGTGACAAAAGGACAATGTGACTACTACAATTAGCAAATAGGAACAGATTATGTTCAGCTATTCAAAGGGGGAGGATGAAGGAGAGAAGAAAATAGAAGATGGAAGGGAAAAATCTCTAGGGCAGCAGGGATAATGGACAAGACAGAGGGGTGTAAAGGAATAGGCAAGATGCAATGAGACTTAATGAGATGGTGATAAAAGGCATTGATCAATAGTAAATAATTCTATAAAACACAATGTACATAAATGAAATACAATATATAGAAGTGACTATATGAAAATCAATTAAAAAAAGGAGTGTGTTCATGTATGAGAGTATCTAACTCATCTCTTCCTAACAACCGGTAATTAACCTATAAATCCCTCACACGTACATACACATACCCACATTCTGAAATGTATTATGAAATGGCAGTTCTATTGACTTTCCCCTCTACTCTAGTAAGGAATTTTTTTAAATTGAAGTCTGATTTATTAACTTTTCTAGTTTAAAATCCTTCAGGTTTTCCTCACTCAAACAAGAATAAAATACGAACTATTTAACAAGATTTTCAGGTCTTGAATCTTTTGAAATCTTTTCTGGATATCATTCTCTTCATGTTCAACTTTTGGCCTTTCTTCACACATACACTTTGGTCATCATCATAGTACAAATGACCTAGTAATAATTAAAAAGTCTATACAGAAAATTAGGAGATCCCAAATAAGCAAACCCACATCAGATCCATAAGAAAAATTTAAGAAAATTAATTTTTATGGCTTTGGAGAAGTGGAAATAAAATTACTTCCAGGTTGTTAAGTGCCATTAAATGGAGTACAACTCATAACAACCCTAGAAACAGATCTAACTGGAAGGAATGGCATCCACTTCCTTAACAACATGCCTCCAGAAACTCTATGAACTTTGATAAATGTTGCTAGTTGTAGAGGGGCTTCAGGCCTTTTGTTCATAGAGTCTCTATGAGTTGTGCTTGACTTGAAGGCAATCAACAACAACAAACAGATCTAAACCTTGTCCTATCTTGTGCCACCCTCATCATTACTGACATACTTGAGCCCACTGCCACAGTCCCTGTGTCAATCAGTCTTGTTGAGGGTCTCCTCTCTTCACTGATCTCCACCTTTCCAAGGAAGAGCTCCTCCCAACAGCATATCCAAAGTATGTGAGATGAAGCGTTGCCATCCTTGTCTCTAAAGAGCACTCTGGCTGTACCTTCTCCATGACATATCTGTTCTTTTGACAGTCCATGGAATATTCCATATTCTCTTCCAACATCACATCTCAAAGGCATCAATTCTTCTCTCATCCTTATTCATTATCCAGTTCTCATATGCATAGCAAGTGATTAAAAAGATCATGGCCTGAGTCAGGCACACCTTGATCTTTCAAGTGGCATCATTGATCCTCAGTACTTTGGAAAGATTTCTGATAGCAGACTTTCTTAAAACAAAATATCTTTTGATTTTTTGACTGCTCCCGAGGGAGGTGATTATAGATACAAGAGGAAATCATTGACAATTTCAATCTCTTCTCCATCTATCATGTTATCTACTGATCCGGTCATGGGGATTTTTTTCTTTTCAATGTGGAAATGTAATCCATTCTGAAGGCTGTAGTCTTTGATCTTCAGCAGCAAGTGTTTCAAGTCCTCTTCACTTTCAGCAAGCAATGTTGTGTTATCTGGATAATGTAGATTGTTGCTAAGTCTTCTTCCAAACCTGATACCACATTCTTCTTCAGAGAGTCCAACTTTTGAATGATTTGCTCAGCATATAGACTGAACAGATATGGAGAAAGAATATAGTCCTTAACACATACCTTTCTTGATTTTAAACTATGCACAGTTTAAATTCTGGAGAAGAAATATGGGCAATCTCCTTCTGTGCAATTTATTGCCTTTGAAAACCCCCTGGAGGGTGAGCTATAGGTCTGGTCTGACTTGACAGTACACAATAACAACATGCCAAACACTGGTGCTCTCTGTCTTTTACAGATCTTATTTTTAAATCTCTTAGATCAACCAAAGAAGCCATTAAAATTTTCATAAATTCATACATGAGGAAATAGCCTTAAATGTTGGTAATGTATTCAGTATCATACAGGAAGTCTCAAACCTGAGTCTCTAGTTTTGAACCCTCTGCTCTCAAAAGTCCGTACTGTAGATGTGATTTTAGAATTAAGTTTCTAAATTACTGGTAACTACAGAGTACTGCCTCTGTACAGGCGTTAAAGAAACAGACACAATAAGCTAACCTTTAGCTATTCTCAGATGATACTAATTTATTAGGGGACACCAGAAAAAGACATTTCCTTCTATTTTGTTGACATAAAGAGATAAAAGAAAATATAAAAGATGGGTATTATTTGAGTTTTACAGTTTATCTCCAAATATTATTTGTATTGTAATTTTTTATGGGAACCTGAGTGTACATAGGCTAACAGTGAGAAGATGTGACTTAAAACAATAGTATACTACCAGATAGCCAAGAAAAGGTAAAATGTGCTGTGTATCTGAGTTAGATTTGACTTTTCAGGCATTATCTATAATTTGGGGCACTCATGTGGAAAAAATGAGCATTACAGAACTAATTACTGCCAGCTTGCTTTTTCCCATTGAGTAATCATGAAACCAGTGACTATATTCACAACCTAGCTGGCCAACAGAATGTCAAGAGTAATCACAACAGAGTGTTAGAAAGAAAAGAAACTGTACCTGATCGATAAGCCTCTTTATTAGGGGTAATCCTTCTAGTGCTGAACTGTCACATCCACTGGTCAATACTCGTTCAAATCCCAGGGTTAAGAGGGTCTCCAGACCTGCCACTGGATCACGAACCATGTCAAAGGCTGAAAGAAATATAATTGACTCCTAAACAGATACATTGCAGTGCAGTGTTTTCCAAAATGTAACTTATATATAGTGATGCATTAGATCTGGTTTATATTGACTTGTTAAGTGTTCAGAAATTCTGCAAGCTACATTGCAAAAATCTGGTAGCTTAAAATCAGTCAGGACAGAATATTTACACAGCAAAAATTAGCATATATCATAAATTCAGGCTCTTTTCTACCAAGAGCCAATATACCATAGCCTGTATACCATTTGACATGACTCCTTTAGATGGTATACATTTCAACAGAAAAAAAATCACTTAAATGTAGACTGGAAAAAAATAATCTTCAGTATTTGTATGTTTCTCTTGAAAAATAAATTTACTTAAGATTTTATTTAAAGAAAGTAGATATACCAACCAGCACAGTACTATTTATGTATGGTAAAACTGTACATGTCGAATGTAAATGATGAAAATTGGGGAAACTTTGCTCTTAATTGTCTCTGACATGCCTATCCCCATTACCCCAGTGATGGAATCAATCCATCTCATTGAGAGTCTCCTGCAAAGTCCCTCCACTCTCCCTAGCATGACGTCCCTCTCCAACGATTGATCCCGCCTTGCAACATGTCCAAAGCAGGTCAGACGGAGGTTCAGAATCCTTGCCTCCAAGGAGCAGCTTGGCTTCACCCTCTCCAGGACAAACCTGTTTGTTTCTAGCAGTCCATGATCTATTCAATACTCTTCTCCAGCACCACAGCTCAAATGCATCATCAACTCTCCTTCTATCATCCTGTACAACCTATGACTAGCTTACATTTTTAAATTATTTCAGATGCCAAATTTTAAACGATATAATTTTTAGGTGAATTTTACTAACACAAATTACTTTCATGTTTCAAAACATTTGGGGGTGGGTAGGGGGTGGGTATGGGACCAGGAATGGCATCTCCAAGTACTGACTTTAAAGTAATATTTTAGTTATTGCTAGTTTAAATAGTAAATCAAAGAAAACTGTGTTCTAGTAATACCATTCATTAGATAAAGAAACAGGAACAACAAAAATGATTTTAATCTCTAATATCTATAAATGGGTATAAATATTAGTGATTACTGTTATCCTTATCTTTGAATGTTTATTCCAAAATACAGAAAAACATTCAAAACACTCTCAGTTATAACCTCAGAAAGATTAACTAGCCCACCTTCTTTTCATGTACAATGGCAATGACCTGTAAGGGCAAAATTGACTCTTGTTTCTCCTTTTTTTTTTTTTTAATTTTCTTATTTTTGTGTGAGTGTACCGTCAAATCAGATCTGACTGGTACAGGAGGAGATTGTCCCTCCTTCCCCGGCAGAGCATCTGGTGGATTCGAATCGTGCACCTCTGGGATTGTAGTTGCAGCTCCTTACCACTAGGCCACCAGAGCTCCCCTTTGTTTCTCCTTTTTACCAATGGTTGGCCAAAGTAAATAGGAAGTTTAAGTATCTTATTTGCAGATAGGAAGTATTTTTTATGTGAAACTTGCAGCTATTTTTAATAAATCATTCTGATGCAGAGTAACTAACAATACTGAAAAGGAAATCTGAGTATTACAGTTGAGTAGATATCTGTTAATTGTGATCTTAACACTCATTTCTTTTCCCCCCTTCCCTAGCAGTATCCAATTCTCTTTCATGTATTTCAAGCACTTTCAGGAAGTGTATTATCATTTGACAAAGCTGATCTTTCTCTTGGCTCTAGGAATGACTGTGTCTCCCTTAAAGCCAGTCAGCACATTCCATTCCCCTGGCCACAAGGATTTAGGCCTTTTAGGGTTGCATACAAACAAAAGTAATTCAATTAAGATGAATTTCAGGAGACTTGCTTGGAAAGCTTTTACAGGTACATGCACTTGCTGGCATGCTTATTCTCTATTATATTTCCTTCTCTACAATATCTATTTTTAATAAATTTTTTTTGTAACTAAGGCTTCAAAATGTCCAGAAATTTCCCAGATCTAAATATTTTACTCCCTTGATCAGTATAAAGAAATCAACCAGTAACACTATTAATCTAGAGAACTGTGTTCCATAAAAGGTTACAGTATTTTGAGAAATAAGAAAACATAACATTGTTCCATTGCACTTCTGAAATGGAATGACTCACCTCGGTGGAAGGTGACTGGCAGTGGGCGGCAAATAGCTATTAAAAGAAAGTCAAAGAATAACATGAATGAAGAGGTATCACTGGCTATTAGACAGAATTCTTCATGCGAGGCAGGACTTTTTTTATATATAGTTTCTCCTCCCAAGAAAGTAATAGTAAAATGGTAGTCTTATAAATTCAAAGGTCCTTTTTTCCCCACTAATTTCTGATTTCCATATAAAAACTTGATTACCTACTCTTTCTTCTTGCTTTTGCTGTGTGCCACCAAGTCAGAACCAACTCATGGCCTCACAGTACAGGTGGATTGCTTCTGCTCTTCACATCCCCTCACACTCACCAACTGTAATAACTCTTACAGTTTTTAGTGTACAGGTTAAAAGAATCACGATAAACTTACACATTTATCCCTACAGTAAAAGTAACAGAAACTAAGGCAAGTCTGTAAGGCTGGGCCACATACGGCCTGCACTCCAAATATCTACATCGCTACTGTTTAAAATGCGTAGGCTAGAATAAGTGCCTACAGCTGTGACCAAAAAATCAATTTTGTGATCATGCTTTTCCATACTGGGTATATAGATGCAGTTAAGATTAAAGGTTCTTTGGTCCCAGACACAAATTCTTACCCACAAGAGATGTGCACAGCTCTTTGTCAATATGTCCATCTTCAGTCAATGCCCCAAATACCAAACCATCAGCACCATACAGTTTGGCAAGACGAATGTCAGTCTTCATCACCTCAATTTCATGGTCTGAATATAAAAAATCTCCTCCTCGTGGCCGAATCATCACAAAAACTGGAATCTGGACACATTGTTTGACTACTTGAAGGACACCTACAAGAACAGAGAACAGACAAATTAAAATTCAAATATGAGTGAAAAGCTCAAGGAAGTCACTAAAAATGTATCAGTCTTTTACATTTGCACTTGTACATCACTTCAAAAACAAATAAGTGAGGAAACTGTAAGAAACAGGGATTTGAAAGAAAGGAGATCACTACTAAGAAGAAAAATATGCATATGGTAGAGGACAACTAACAGCAAAATTGTTATTGTTGTTGTTATTAAGTGCCATAGAGTTATGACTCATAGCAAACCTATGAAGAACAGCTCTGAACCCTATCCATCATATGCCATCCTTATCATCCCCGACACACTTGAACCCATTACTGCAGACACTGTATCAGCCTACTGCATTGAGTGTTGTCATTAGGTGCTATCAAACTGACACCAATTCACAGTGACCCTGTGTACAACAGAAAAAACCCTGAGCGATCTCACACCACTCTCAACAACCTCTTTTGTGCGTCCATTGCTACAGGCACTGCGTTACTCAATCTCATTGAGGGTCTTTGTCTTCTTCAACGTTTCCAAGCATAGTGTTCTTTTCCAAGGATAGTATCCCCCCCAGAAATATGCCCAAAGTATGTGAGATGAAGTTTCACCATCCTTGCCTCTAAGGAGCACAGTGATTGCACTTCTTCTATGACAGATTAATTCATTTTTTTGGCAGGCAACATTCTTTGACAACACCACAATTCAAAGCCATAAATTCTTCGTTCACTCACTTATTGTTGTCAAGTCTGACACAGCTCATAGCTGAGACTCCAGCAGGTTTTCAGAATCACAAAAGAGATTCTTCATCTTTGTCCTGCAGAACCACCAGTGCCTTCTTACTTACTTATTCTTACTTATTCATTAACCAATGACCACATGCACATAAAGGAATTGCTGGAGTCAACACATTCTAGTGACATGACATCCTTGCTCTTTAGCACTTTAAAGAGGTTAGTTCTTGGCAGCATATTTGTCTAATATGATGCACCAGTTGATTTATTTCTTTATTTTTATTTATTTTTGTGTATGTGTATCAGATCTGACTGGTACAGGAGGAGACTGCCCCTCCTCCTCCAGCAGAGCATCTGGTGGATTCGAATTGTGTGCCTCTGGGATTGCAGTGCAGCTTCTAGCCACTAGGCCACCACAGCTCCACTAGTTGATTTCTTGGTGGCTGCTTGTATGGTTTTGACTGTGGGTCAAAGTTAAATGAAATCATTGACAACTTCAATGTTTTCTCCATTTGTTATAATGTTGCTTCTTGGTCCAGTTGTAAAATGCTTTTTTCCTTTACATTGAGGCATAATCCACACTGAAGGCTATAGTCTTGGGGCTTCTTTAAGTGAGTGCTTCAAGTCCTTCTCAGTTAGCAAGACTGTGTCATATGCAAAAGACAGATTGTTAGTGAGTCTTTCTCCAATCCTGATGCTACATTCTTCATGAAGTCCAGCTTCTTAAATGATCTGTTCAGCATACACATTGATTAAGTATAGTGAAAGGATCCAACTCTTAACACATTTTTCCCTGATTTTAAGTGATACAATATCCCCTTGATCTGTTAGAATGACTGCTTCTTGGGGTTTGTACAAGTTCTGCACGAAAATAATTAAGTGTTCTTGAATTCTCATTTTACTCAATGGTATTCTTAATTTATTATAATCCTCACCATTAAATACTTTTGCAGAGGCAATAAAACATAAGCAAATGTTTTTCTGGTATTCTTTGCTTTCTGCCAAGAGTCATATGACATCAGCTATGATATAATGAGGTCCTTCATTACATGGCCTCTTGTTTGAATCCAGTTTTTAATTTCTAACAGCTTCCTCTCAATGTGCTGTTCCAGGCATTTTTAAATAATTTACAGCAAGATTTCACTTGTGCATCATATTAACATTGTTGGATGATATTAGGATTCTGTCAGATCATATTTTTCTTTTAATGGCCGTAAGTATTTCTATGGTTTTCAGATTTTGTTTTCAAGGGTCTGATATTTTAGAAGTAGATGGCCTGTCCTCTTCTTTGTATCTCTTAGTCTGGATATTCCACTGAAGCCTGTCCCTTGAGTAACTCTGCTGGTATCTGAAATGTGGTATTGTACTTTTGGCCATCACAGCAATGCACATGCCACCACAGCAGAGCAAATTGACAAATGAGTAGTGGGTATCATCCCGGTGGGTTGCAGGTAGCAATCTTCCAAATTTTTTGGCACAGATGAGTGAACATGTCCAGGGACAAATCTGTTTGCTCAAACATTTCAACTGATATTCTATTAATACCTAGAGCCCTACTTTTTACCAATACCCGCAGCATAGCTTTGACTTCTGTAGTACCATAGTTTCTCTGTCATATGCTACTGTCTGACATGGCTCAATGTTGACCAATTCTTTTTGATACAGTGACTCAGTGTATTTCTTCCTCCATCTTTTGAGACTTCTATGAGTAAAGTCGGTGCTCTGGTAGCCTAGTGATTAAGGAGCTGCGTTGCCAAGCTGAAGGCAAATAATTCAAATCTGTCAGTTGCTCCATGGGAGAAAAAGGAGCATTCTCCTTCCATGTAATTTACTGCCTCTGAAAACTCAGCTATGAGTCAGTTCTCACTCAAGAGTACACAACAACACAACCTTAAATAGGTCTAATTGATATAATATCCATCACACAGTGAGCATGACAGCCACCAATAAAGGACTATAATGGAACTGATTATGAAGTATTTTAGGCTCTACAAATTTTTATAATAATGCTGTGTAAAATGCACAACTTACCCATGCTGGGTGTGGTTCCTCCATCCAATAAACTAGAACATAATTCAATTCGACCAGCACCTGTAATAAAATATTGCTCAAGTCATTTTTCTCAAATAGGCTCTTCTTAAATAAGAGAATTTACATTTTTCCTGCTAAATATAGAACAAAGAGTCTTAGAAATCACTTGAGAGAAATTAAATTACAAAACTAATGCAAATATTGTCTGCAACCCACATTGTTATGAAAAGACAAATTTAAAAGAATAAATTTACCGCCTGCCGGGGGGGAACGCATGCGGCCGCCGCCAGACCGTGGAATGCTGCGAGAGAGACCCGGAAGAGACCCGGGAAGAGCAGCAGCCAGTCACCTGCCGCGGAACTCCAGAGGAGCGAAGACTGCCGGACACTGTGGGACCCCCCTGCAGCCCACACCTGTGTGACCCTTAGCACACAGGGTGCTGCTGCATAAACCCCCAGCAGCGCACAAGCCCCGTCCCCACCTCTTGGTGATAGTGTCC